GGTGTAGAGTGCTTTAAAAAAAAAACATTAATCACTGTTATTGGCTCTTCTGACAGTGTCTGACGCACAGTTCTGCTCAACAAAGGTTTCCTGCAGGACTCTGGAGGGTGTCGCTGATCCTCAGGAGGGAATGATGTAAGGACCTCATACTCAGCTTTGCCTATGCTTCCCTGTCAAAACTGACACTGTAGTTTCCTCAAGAGGCTGCTGTCTTGCCTGTCAAATGTGAACACTTGGTCTCACATAAGGCTCCCCTTCTCCAGGTACTGTGTAGAATCTGAGGACACAGCACAGTTGCCATATGAGTAAATACACATAAACTAGAAAATGACAGACTCATGAGAAGACACTCATGTCTATTCCTCAGCATGTATCATTCACCCAAAACTCTCTTCTCTGCCTTCTCAAGTCACTGCTTCCCAGCAGATGGGCCACAGAGGTGAGCAAGGTCCACTCCACATCAGAAGCTCCCTTGAACTTCAGCTGAGTCAATTAGCCACTCTACAAAGTTCTGTTTGAGAAGCATTTGTTCTGTGTCTGCTACCCCAAAGCAGAAGTCAGATAGCATAGAACCATTTCTGAGATAAGAGGATGAAGATAGCGCCCCTACGGCCTACACCAGTGGCTAACCCTGACCTGAGGACGAGCTAGGATTTGAACACCTAGGCACATCCACAGGAGGCCTGAAGAAGCAAGACATAACTGACCAACTCACAGCCTGGCCAGGGATTCCCAGGATTACCAAGGTCTGGCTCCATAGCAGCACTGTCATATTTGAAGCTGTCCCCTTCAGTTCTGCTGACTACAGTGAGGAAAAGGTCCCACTGTGGTGCCACTATGTAGTTTACTTTTTTAACACATAGGGAGAGCAGACAACTCCTGCCAAAGACTGGCAAAGTATGAAATAACAGTTAAATTCAGTGATGTTGTTGGTCATTAACTCGCTTATTTTCACAGTTCCTCTCTGTTTGGGGCAGATAATTTATTTTCTGTTTACAGAAGGACATAATGCTTTTGTTTCATTTTATTGGACTAAAACTAAAAGTCAGCTTATTTGAAGAAAAAACATGAAATAAAATAGGTAAGAGGTTCATACTTACAATCAAAACAATGCAGAAAGAATGCAAGCAGAAAGCTACTGTACATGAATGTCACAAGAACTAGGCCTCTGATAGATTGAAGAGCCAGAAATGCTAGGGTGAACCCATGAACCAAGGCAGGGAAACATGAAAGTCAAGTTCTGGAAGCAAAGAGACCTGCTCAGGACAGGAACCAGGGCACGTGTGATGTTATAGTAGAATATGAGGCTAGAAAGGCAAATCAATGCCAAGTCTGAGTGAAAACCTTGAGGCTGAGGGCAGGTGTCTACATTTTCACCTGCAACCATGGCATAACCAGGTCTCCAGCCCACCTGACCATCCCCAAAACATGACTGACCTGAGGGAAGCAGAGATAAGCTGGGGAACACACAGAATCTAGAAAGAAGCCAAGGAAGCAACTAAACCTGCTTCAGCACTGCTGACCACAGTCAAGCCTTGAGAAAGAGGATGTGGCTTATTACAAAATCCTGGACCTGTAGGAGGCTCTACAGGGTGGTGAATGGAACAAGGAAGGATACAACACAGATAGCTTGGGAGGCAGGTATTAGTCCAAGCAGGCCTCTGCAAGAGATAACTTACCACCATATATGGAGCGAAAACTTCTAGGGGAAAAAAAGAAAAAAAATATTGGAATAGGATTCAAGGAAAAAAGACCTAAAGACAGCCTAAACAAAACATACTCAGCTCCAATGGCTGTCTCACTGTCTGCTGGCCATATGGTGCATGATAAGCCAGACCGCTTTTATTTATCTTCCATGACTCGTCTATGATGCTGAGAGCCGGCCCTCACAATAGAGACCATCTCGAGCTCTTCAGCCCTGACTCACAGCTCCCAGTCCCCAGTCTCTGCTCTGGGAGGTGGCTGGCTGCAAGTCCCTTCCCCCATCCCTGCTGCTGGCCTCAGCTCCCACTCAAGTCACAGCTCACAGCTGTTTTCCCACAACCCAGTAAACCACAGACCATTCTGTGTCCTCCTTGGCCAGCTGGGCAACATAGTAGACAGCTAACTATCTTGTCAACATTTGACCATGCTCATACTCGCTACCATTCATCCAGGTCCTTAGCTGTGCTCCTCACAATAACTAGTAGGAAAAACTTTCCTTGTGGCTGTAAGGTATTGGCCACTCTGCTAAGCCACAATAGCAATACTGTCCTTTCCCTACCTCCCCCCTACCTTCTTTCCTTCTCTCCTTCCTCCCTCTCTTTCCTTTCTTTAATTGTCCATGGTACTGGGAATCGAACCCAGGGCCTTACCATTGAGCTTTTTTTATGCCAGCTTTTTTAATATTTTTATTTTAAGACAGGGTCTTGCTAAGTCACCAAATTACTCAAGGCTGGGCATGAACTTGCAGTGCTCCTGCCTTGGGCTCCCAAAGTGCCAAGATCTCAGGTATGCACGACCAGGCTTGAACCATAGAGGTCTCAGAGTTACATTTCTTCTGGGTGCATCCCACCACCCCCACCTCTTCCCTAAGGCTGACCAATAACTACATCCAATCACCCTGGGCCCCAATTCTCTAAAACACGCCTTCCTCCCTTCTCGTCCTCAGTGTACAGGAGCCCTGTTCTCAGCCTGAGATTCTTCTCGCTAGCATCTGCATCTCTCTTTTAGGGGGCGAGGTTTTGACTGAGTGGAGAAGGGCCACTTGGGGTAGAAGCACATTAACTGAAGTTGAATCTGCCAACAGAATGCCAAGTTAAGCGTAAATTTCAATAAACAACAAATTGTCTTCTCTCGTCCACTGGGAATTTATTCATATTTCATGAACATGTGAAAACATAGTATTAAACCTTACATTTTTTTCTTATACATATATACATAGGGAGAGTTTTAATTTATAAATTAGGCATAGTCTAACAATATACTGTTGTAAAATTTACTTAAAATATATAATTTACTTAAAATGTACAATTTATGAAGTACTTTGTTTGTTTGGGGTACAGTTTTTGTTAGTTATTTGGTTTTCAGAAACAGGCTAAGGTTCAGGCTGGGCTCTAAATTGTGACCTTCCTGCCTCAGCCTCCCAGGATACTGGGATCACTATCATATCAAGAATGAAATGTTATTTCTGGAATTTCCCATTTCATACTTTCAGACTTCAGTTGACCTTGAATAACTGAATAACTGAAAGCAAAACCATCAGTAAAGAGAAACTACTGTACTTAAACTAAAAAACAGCATTCAATATTTATCTGAAATCCAAATTTAACTAGAGGTCCTATGTTTTTATTTGCTAAATCTAGCAACCTGAAGTATCAGGAAGTAGCAAGCCAGTCCTGCTGGGCAGTCAGTCCTGCTTTATCCCAGTAGCTCTCAGCGGCCCCCACACAACACCCCTACCTCAGCTCATACCTCCCCTTTGCTGCTCCCTGAGCGCACTCAGCAGAGACCTGCAGGCCCTCTTTGCCCCACCCTGCAGTAGGGACTCAGGTCGCTATGAACAAAGAAGTAACAGACAGTCCAAACAGAAGCAGGCTGAGGGAACAGCTCTACCACTAGGAAGCACAGGGAGGATGCCCTGTCCTCTGCAAGTGTGAAGACCCACTCAAGCCTGCCCTGAGCGGCCTCACATCACCCAGGGGCACACAGAAGCCATTGGAATTTAAGGCCAATGGGCAGGGGCTGGTGGGCTTAACAAGAGTATGAACAGCTTTATAAATGGCCAGTATCTCAAACCCTAGGTCAGCTGGACTGGGCAAGCCCCAGCACGAGTTCTGGCAGATGATACAGCCCAGCCCCACTGAAAAGAATCTCAAGGGCATGGACACATGGGCTCTAGACCAGCCAAGTGCCACAGATGTAGGGGCATTTTCCTACACACGGCCCAGAAACAGCTGTTATTTCCCTGCTCAGGTGCCAAAGATGCAATAATAGAAAGATATTTCATCTCTAATCTACAGACTATTTTTATTATTGTCTACAAATTCACTGGTTAACATTAGGTTAAACAAACAAAAGTGCCTTTTTTGCAAATAAAAAAATAGAATATTGGCAATTATGCACAGCCCAACCAAGTAATAATAATATTGAATCCTTGTTATTTATGATACTCCATGCTAGATCTTTTAAGCATAATCATCATGTAGTGTTTAATTCTTAAGACTATTTTCAAGAAATGTTTACTGTGTCCATTTTAGAGCATCAGAAACTGAGACACAAGATGCCCCAGTGCTCACTTGGCTGGACATATACCAGGTCTCGGTGACTGTAAGACCCTCCATTCCACCTACCATGTGGCCTGAGTCATGTGGTCGTTCTACCACATGGTCCTCTGGCCCTGCCAGCTGGTCAATGGTTGACCATTCCTGCAGCAGCAATGACTACCAGGACTTCCACTGTGCACAGAGGCCCTTCAGTAGCTAATCCCAGCATGGCCTCCTGAATTAGCAGTAAATTGTGTTACACAATTTCAAGAGGAAAAAAATTTTTTTGAAAGTTTAATATTTAGGGTAAGAAAGGAAAGAAACAAAGTAACCAAGCAAGGAAAATCTAGTCAAACCAGTTGTTAAATGCATTAACTCTGATTGCAAGCTAAAATGTAGTGCACCACTGAGAAAAAGGTCAGGTAGAGTGTGATCCAGCAACACTGCAGAGCACAGGCACGCACCTGAGGCTCTTCCCTCAGAATACTGAGCCACACAGAAAGGAAAGACTGAGAAGCTTCTCAAAGAAACAAGTCAAAGTCAGGAAGCATCACCGGTAAACTAGCCCCGGAAGCTGAGACCCATACAGTAGGATAAATAAAAGTGCCCACTTTAAAAGAAGAAATGCCTATTATCTTCTCTGTAAAATAGAATTTGACAAGTCAGCACATGGAATGCACAGCAAAAATAGCTCCCACTAGTTCCAAATGAACATCTACAGAGATCAGACTTTGAGGATAAAAAGAGGAGACTGACCTTCACATGGGCCACATAGTGATGACACAGCTCCTCCGTGTGGGCCAGCTGTAGCTTCTCCAAGACCTGGCCAGCAGTCTCTCCTAGCAAAACAAAGTAGACCCTGGGAAGCTGGCCCATCTCCTTTTTGGCCACATCAGCCGTCAGAATGTAATTCAGACCTGCCAATAAATGAGGTCAACATGTCAGCAAGGACATACACACAGTGGTGAGGCCACTCTGCTCCCCACCACAGGGGACCCAGCCCTCCACCCTAGAGGTCAAGAGAATGCAGCAAGGGGCTCACAGATCTGAGAGAACCAGAACACCCCCTGCCTTTCCAATGACACTTTGTTGATATCCCTCCTATCTCTCCTCGACTTAAACTCTGTGCTGTCATGAGGTATCAATGAAGCCACCAACATGTACATTGATGATTATTTGTACCAGCACAGGCTAGTGCTCTGACTAACAAATGTCATGGCAAACTTATACAACATTCAAGAAGCTGAGGTGATCAGCGTTCCATTTGGTAGACTCTTTAACAAGCACTGCTATATATCCAACAAAGGGGAGCAATCACTTCTGATCATTTTGCATCATCTCACAAATGCCAAGCCATGGCCCAGATTTACTGAGAAATAGTAGAAAGCCGAGCATCACTGTAGGCACAGAGGGAGACAATGATCAAGGCCATGGCCAAAATTTGTCTTCATGCAGCCTATAGGCCTGGCTCTCCGAAGCTGGACTAACTCCATGCCCAGGGAACTGTGCACAGGGATCAAATACTTTGTGATGCCCATGGCCAACAATGGCCATGGTGACTAAAGTCCACTCTCAGGAAGAGAAACCCACCACCTACACCTGAACATATAACGCCAGGTGATAGAACTTATGAGACACCGTTTGGAACTTAAAAAATTCAGTGGTTCCAGTATCAAATGCATACTGATAAACTCCAAAAGCTTCAGCTCCATTATTTCAGCGTTTGTAAGTAGATATATAACTATGCTTTTCTTAGGTATATTTGAATTAATTGAGTTAGTGGTACTGAGGATTGAACCTAAGACCTTCACTGTGAGCTACATTTTCAGCCCTTTTATTATCTTTTTAAATTTTGAGACCACATTGCCCTAAGTTGTTTGGCCTAGGCTCTAAGTTTTGATTCTCCTGCCTCTGCCTTCCAGCATGCTGGCATTATAGGTATGCACTACCACACCTGGTTTATGTGGATCTATTTCACTGCTTTTCTGTGCCACAAACCAGACTTCTTTAAGTCTTATTTCTTAGCTGTTTTGTGGGTTTAGAGAATGTGGCATTTTTACAGTGAGAAAACAGGAACTTCGGTCTCTAAAATGACCAGAGAAGATTGCTGAGCAATAAGAAAAAGAAGGACCCTGTTCCCACTCATCTCCATACCCCTGCCCTTCATGGCCAATATTTTTGCACCCACTGAAGCAGCCCCGTGCTTTCTGGCACTTCACTATGTGAAGTCAGGCAGCAGGGATGGCTCTGGCTTTCAACAGCATCAAAGGGGCCAAACCCTGGGGGTGGTCTGGACAGGGAGAGAGGAAGGTGACATGGAATGAACAGCCTTCCTGTGATTGTGCCTGGACATCTTTCTGATGCTTCCCTGAGTTGCTGCCATACCAAAGATCTTGCCAAACTGAGCTGGTGGATTCCTAAATAGGGACGGCAAATCTGCCCTAGCTTATTTATTCCAGTAACAGCTGATTTCCAAGGCAAGGCTGGTTTACCAGAAAGGACAAGGACCATGGATAATCACAGGAGATAGCATTACTCTGAAGAAAAGACTACAGGAAAGCATATGGGAAAGTGCTTCAACAGAGAAACACACATTTCCACAGAAGTGTTACACATCAACCCAGTCAGGCAGAAGTAGAGTGGGCTTGCAGCTGACAAAGCTTTAAGGAAATAGTAGAGGCCATCTAACTCAAAATTTTCATTTTTAAGATGAGCAGACTGGAGTTCCAAAAGGGAAAAAACTTGCCCGGGCCAGAAAGCCACCTACTACAGAGCAGGGGGAAGAACTCTACCACTCTCTCTTACAGGGCTACACCTAGCACAGTAGGTGTTGGCCTTGGGTTTTGTTGTTGTTGTTGTTGTTGTTGTTTTTACATTAGCTGACCCAACACTCCTATTTTTTTGTGTGCAAAAATAGCAGAACCAAACACATGTAGAGATCCACAATGGAGTTCTAGCCAGTGTACCTTCTACTGATCACAACTTCCTTGAGCACCAGCCAGGACTAACAAAGGTTACATTTATATGAAGTGAATTACCAGAGTTGTGGCAAGCAAGACTCTGCGGATGAGCCTTACTAGGAGACAAGCTAGAGGTGCTAGCTGGGTAAACTGATGCTGGAGTGGCAGCTCCTGGGCAGCCTCTCTTTAGAGGCTCCTGTCTAGCTCTCCTCCTAGGCGAGATAACATAGCTGCTGTCCCTCAGGAATTATGACAATGGAGGGGACAGAAGAACCAAGCTGTCTTGCCAGAGAGGAGCTGACTGAGCTTAGGGAAAATCTCAATAAATAGGAACACAGGAAAATTAGGCAAAAGATATCAGTCCTCCACTCACATCCTCTTTACCATTTCTCTACTGCCACCATCTGCAGTCCATTTCCTGAGGAACTCAGCTCCCTCCCCCTTGGGGTGGCACATCTCTGAGGTACCTTCTGTGCAGACTCCCAGGTTTCCCTAGCAGGTCTAAATTCCAGCTGCACAAAGTGGTAACTGCTCAGTAACACATCCTCTATCAGGCTGCCAGGATGGCTAATTTTATGTGTCCACTTGGCTGGGCCACACAGTACCCAAGCACCAACTCAGGCATGATTAGGAAGATATTTTTTAAATGAAAGCAACATTTAAGTTAGTAGATTGAATAAAGCAGGTTAGCTTCTATACTGTGATGGGCCTCATCCAATCATTTGAAAATCTTAAGGGGGAAAAACCCTAAGATTCCTTCCAAAAAGCAAGACATCTGCTTCTAGACTGCCTTCAGGCTTGAGCTGCAACTTCAACTCTTCCTTGCGTCTCCAGCCTACTGGCATGACCTGCAGAATCTGGGCTTTGAAAGGTCCTATAATCTCATGATCCAATTTCCTAAAATCAATTCATATTCATTCATATTCCTTCCAAACTGTTCTGTTTCTCTGGAGACTATTACAGCTGCCTACCTTTGCTATCTCACTGCCTTCAAATTAAAACAGGGTAAGTCAGGAAAAGGGAACGAATCCAGCCTTCAGTGTGTGCCTAGCACTGTGTGTGTACACCATAAGCACCATCTTTGATACAGTCCATTGACTGCAGAACCACTGACACATACATCCCCCTTGAAACTCAAAGGAGGAGAAAAGGTTCACAGAAGTTGAGCCAAGGATCGAGCAGCTGCTGTCTGTCGCAGGCAGGGTTTGTGTATGGCAGCACACTCACCTATCACATTTTTCTAAGGTGCTGAAATACACAATCACAGACAGATAAAATTATCCTGTTTACTGAGGACAATCATTCTGGAAGCATTCTTCTCTGGAACTGTCTACTTAGTGGTCCTCCTTGACCTAAAATTTGTTTTGACATTTTAAGTTACCCCAAAAGAAGTCAGTTCTGTGTCAAACTGTCTCTTCAAAAAGAAAGCAAGATAGAAGACCCTGCCTGAGTTAGAAGGATCTCATAGCTTCCAGAGGTACAAAGAAATACAGATCATTCTGAAGTCCTGAGCTCCAGTAGGAGTTTTAAAAAACATCGACCCATGTCTCCAAGCAAGCTGGGAAGGAACTTCTACCAAGTGGAGGACTTCACAGTGAAGCAGCCAATTGGCTTGCTTGGTTTGGGCAGGGCGTCCTGCACAGACTTGCCCAGTTACTGCAGCCACCCCTAACACAAGCCAGCCCAGCCATCCTCTGTTTGGGCAAAGGTGCTGGTTCTGATTAGGGCCTGCTCCAATGGCACATTTCACATCTTCAGGTTTTCCTTTCTCATAGCTTGTGTCCATGCCATGTCAAATGACGTCACATTGATGGAAAAGCTGATCAGCTCCAAGTAATGCTTTCTGCCGCCTCCTTCCCCGCCCCCAGCCACCAGCCTGGGCCAGAGGTGTCTTGCATCACCTCTGGCTCTAGCCTCTCCCAGTCAGTTCTGAATCATTCCTATTCTCCATCAGAACAAGATTTCAGCTGTGAAATTCTACTAGCAAATCCTCCTTCCAAAGTTACTCTGAGCTCCCCAGTAGAAGAGGAAAAAGGATATTTCCACTTTACTAACTTTCCTAAAATTCTCCCTGAGGAATGAGGTATTAATTACTAGACTAGGTTACCCCTTTCCTCACATAACATGAATTCCCTTCATTCTTTTCTGCCTCTGTGCTTCTTAAACAACCAAAAGGAGCTCAGCGAATAAATGCTCTTGAGCAGAAATATACCTCTAAAAGCAGAAAAGGGGCCTGGGAACAGGCTGCTTAGCTTCAGCCCTATTTCTGTTATTGATGTGGGTGACCTCAGTGCTGGCTCTCAGGATCCAGAGTGCAGAGGTGGGGTAGGCACCTTTTCTTGCTCACCGATTTGTCTGGCACTTCAAGAGTCATGGAAACACAAGGCATTCAATCAGACCTTCCTGGTTTTCATTTAGTACTCTGAAGAGAGTTCAGAGTTGCCAATCTTATTCCTACTTTCCAGAGAGGGGCATACAACTGTAGGTTTCAGTCTGGTCAGTAAGCAGATATAAGCACAGCCCATAAGTAAGGGGAGAGCCTCTGCATGACAGAGAAGGCCCTGAGAGGCAGCAACCCAGGCCAAGGATGGAGTGATTAATGATACCCTTTGGGATAGGTAGAATGCTATTTCAACTGCTTAAATATATTATAAACCCACTTTTAGGGAGCCTACCATTGGAATGAGAAATCTGTCTGCATGCCAGCACTCAGCACACAGTGCCTGCACCACCAAGGGTCTCAGCACGTGTCTACAAGAGCAAGCCAGCAAGCTTGCCTCCCTTTAGAATGCAAGCTCTGTGCCTATGGGTACATGGAGTGTCTGGCACTTAGTAAGATTTCATAACTATCTGTTGACTGAACAACCCAAAATAACATGAATTTGCCTCATTATCCCATCTCCATACTTCTCGAAAGACCAAAAGCAGCTCAAAAAATTTTCTCTGCATGCAAACAGTCTAGGAAAAATGCACCCTATATGTTTCAGTGTCCCAAGGTGACTAGATACTTGCGCTGATTTAAAAAGTTGCTGTTGCTCAGCTCCAAACCCACCTTTCTCTACTGTTCTGTGATGCTGGGGCTACGTGCCAGTCAGTCTTGATTGTCAACTAACTTTATTAAGAGATTCCTGAAAAGTTGATTGGATTGTAAGAGCACTGATCTCATCTGTGCTTAACCCATTAATGAGTTAACAGCTGAATGGGCTCTGAAGAGGTGGGGCCCAGGTGAAGGAAGTGAATTGTGTAGCCCATCTGAGAACTATATTCTGGCCCTGACTCCTGCCTCTCTGGCTTCTCCCTGTACTCTCTGTTTCCCAAATGTCATGAGTTGAGCAATTTTCTTCTACCAAGAGCCACTTCCATGAGCCAGTCAACTATGGATTAAAACTTGTGAAACTATGAGTCAAAATAAACTGCTCTCTTTTAAACTGTAGGTTTAAACTGGCACTTAGTAAGATTTCATAACTATCTGTTGGGTAGTGGGTAGGTGTTGGGTATTTTGTTCCAGCAACAAGAAGCCAATATAGGCTGAGACCCTGCAGATCTACCTCTTTTCTGTTTTGCCAGTGGCTCTCTATGAGCCTTTGCAAATAGAGAGCTCAGGAGAGACTGAGGCTGAAGCACAAGAGCTTCACTCCTTCCCAGCAACTTCCTGTTCCTGTGCACTTAGCCCGCAGCAGGTTTTCATAGCAGCTGGTTCCACCAACAGTTAACTCCAATTTCTCATTTTCCTCCTTACTCCTCAAATCAGCCTCACCGCACTCCTTCAGAGGCCCAGCAAGTGCTCCCTCCACACAGGCTTACGTCTAGCTTCACAGAACCCTTTCTGTAAATGTACAGGTTCTAATAATCTTAAGGAATTGATTAATCCCGAGTATAACCTTGGCCACTGGAGGTTCATCAGAATGTAGTTGCTGGTGCCCTGATCCTTCTACCATCTGGAGCCCAGAGACCTGATTATCCTAATCCTGCACAACCACGAGGCTACTTGTAGGCTGAACACTCGGACACCCACTCACAGTCAGACTTCACAGTTCCTGACAAGCCACTTTTCCCTTTCATCTCATTTACCTAATCTTCATCCATTTTTTTCCTTCCTATACTCTCCATTATACTACTAGTCCACTTTTGGGCAGGTTTTCTGCACTTCTCCCTCTTCACAAAGACTGAAATATAGTTCATTTTTCTACAAGCCATAGAAATAGACAGGAAAACATCAGAGATGCAGTAGCCCAGTTGACACTCAGGTTCTCTGGATATCATCCCTTCTAAATCTGATTTTTGGGAAGAGATACCAAGGATTGAACCCAATGCCTCATGCATGCTAAGCACACAGCTACCACCAAGCTGTACCCTAGCCCCAACCTGATTCTTAAATGTAGGGAAAGATTCCCTTTGAGTATAAAGGAACATTTGATCTCATCAATGAACCCATGTGGCAGGTGAATGATAAGGAAGTAACCTAAATGGCAGGTGCATACTCAGTCAAGACAGTCACCACCTAGCTTCGGACATTAGGTAACTTGCTCACGTTGCCCAGAGGGACATGACATCCAACAGCCCTTCTCTTCCATTACTTCAAACTCCGTGGCTGAAGTCAGGCCTTTAACCTAATTCCTTCTAGTGGTCAGTGAAAGGCCAATTCCTGAAAGGGTCCCAGAAAAGGCCACTGGCTGGGAATCAAAAGAGCCCACTGTATCTCTTCACTCAGCTCACGAACTCTCACATCTCCAAGTTCTACCACTTATCTCAAGCTCTGAAACCACTCCTGCTCACACTTGCATCTCAGTTTATTCTCTGTCCTTATTTATCTTCATTTTTACAATAGTGACCAAGAGACTGAAGGCTGTGCATACTGATTTAAGATGAAAACAGTAAGCTGGCAATGGTGGTAAATGCCTGCAATTCCAGCACCCTGGGAGGCTGATGCAGGAGAATCACAAGTTCAAACACCATTTGTCAACTTAGTGACTCAGCAAGACCCTGTCTCAAAATTTAAAAAGGGTTAATAATGTTGCTCAGTGTCATGGCACTGGGTTCAATCCCCAAAAAGATAAAAATAATAGACATTCTTCAAAACTCCCTTTACAAGCTCCATGGGAGCAGGACTGACATTTCCAATACCTAGACATGAAGACACACAATAAATATTTTTCAAATTAATACACATGAACTATTAACCATTTGCTTTTTAGTGCTCTAGAATAACTTATATGGACCAAAATTAACTTATATGGACTAAAATTAATATCCAGAGTCTAGAGGTGTAGCTCAAGGGTGAATTACAATGGTAGACACATTTAGCATGGGAAAGTCCCTGGGTTTGATCCCTCAAACCATAAAGAAAGAATATTTAATCATTCATTGAAAATGTTTGCCAACATCATGAACTGGTATTTGGTAAAAACATGTGATCCCCAGGACCACCAGAAACCACTTTTCCTTAAACCTGTGATGTCCTACATGAGGGAAGTGATGAGAAATAGTTGTTGGAAAATACAGCCCTTCAAGTAAAAACAAAACATCTATTAATCTGCACAATGCTCCAGATTCATGTCTTTCAAGTGCTCTTATGCTATGAGTTCTAATCAACACTGACCCTGTCTTGTTGTGGGGATTAATTCAGTCTCTGAAGGTGGGATAAATGGCAAGTAGGCTTTTGCCAGACAAATGGTCCCTGGAAAGCTACCACCTGCCTGTTTTTAATTCTCTGAGCTCTCAAAGCAAAGCCCTCCTTTTTGAAAACCCAAGCCTATGAAAACTCTACATCCTGATCCCACAGTAAAGCTCAAGGGAGAGCCTTTAAAGTCCCATTGCTTCGTTTTTCTAACTGCGTGGAGTATTCTGTCAGGACTGGGTTCCAGGCAAGACATTTCCACCAGTCCAACAACCCATCCTACCCATGGTCTAGGGAATTTCAGTTTGTATACATACATTTGGGGAAAGGGTGTTTGGGGTCCAACATTATCTGTCCTAGAGCTCAAGGATATGAGAAACTTGGCACATAGATGGGTAAGAAATAGAAGCGGGGAAACTCAGAGGGAACGTTCCCAGGCCATGGACAGAGTCAGGTAGGATGCTTAGTGAAAGCAAACCCCAATACATCCCAGGTTCCACCATCCTGCCATCCTACTCCAGCTAAGATGGGTATCTGGAGCACTGATTCAGTGATTCATTACCAATTTCTCCTGGAACATGTCTGCCATGGAACCTAAAGCAGACAGTGACATTCAGGCAATTTATAGGCTGTTGTCCATCATGACACTGAGGTGCTGTGATGTTGATGGAGCTTGGGAGGAAGATAGAGACATCCACGGTAATGACAGGTCTGGCCCTGTAGGGTAAAAGCAGAAGATAGCTTAGTCACATTAAGGAGCAGCTCTTAAAATCAAAAGGAACTATACAGACAGGCTAAATCCTAGGCCCAGATGGATTCACTGCAGAATTCTACAAGAAATACAAAGAAGACCTAATGCCGACACTCCTCAAACTATTCAATGAAAATGAAAGGGAAGCAATCCTTCCTAAGTCATTCCTGGAAGCAAATATTACTCTAGTACCAAAACCTGAGAAAGACCCAACTAAAAAAGAGAACTATAGACTGATCTCCCTAATGAACACAGATGTAAAAATCCTCAATAAAATATTGGCAAATAGGATCCAGCAAATCATCAAGAAGATTATACACCATGACCAAGTGGGATTCATCCCAGGAATGCAAGGATGGTTCAACATATGCAAATCAATAAATGTAATCCACCATATCAATAAAGCCAAAAATAAGAATCACATGATCATTTCCACAGATGCAGAAAAAGCCTTCGATAAGGTCCAACATTCATTCATGATAAGAACTTTACAGAAAATTGGAATAAATGGTCTTTACCTCAATACAATAAAGGCCATTTATGACAAACCAACAGCCAGCATCATACTAAATGGCCAAAAATTGAAAGCCTTTACTTTAAAATCGGGCACAAGACAAGGATGCCCTTTATCACCACTCCTATTTAATATAGTACTGGAAGTACTAGCCAGAGCAATTAGGCAAGAAAGAGAAATAAAAGGGGTAAAGATAGGAAAAGAAGAAGTTAAATTATCATTGTTTGCAGATGACATGATACTCTACATAGAAGACCCCCTAAACTCCATTGAAAGACTCTTAGATACAATAAATAAATTCAGTAATGTGGCTGGATACAAAATCAATACTCAGAAATCAATAGCATTCCTATACACTAACAACAAAATCACAGAGAGGGAAATAAGAGAAACTGGACTATTCACATTAGCAAGCAAAAAAATGAAATATTTAGGAATTACTCTTATGAAAGAAGTGAAAGACTTATACAGTGAAAATTATAATACACTGAAAAAAGAAATTGAAGATGATCTCAGAAAATGGAAAGACATCCCTTGCTCATGGATAGGAAGAACAAACATTGTGAAGATGGCCATTCTCCCAAAACTGTTATACAGATTCAATGCAATCCCAATAGAAATACCATCAACATACCTTATAGATCTAGAGAAATCACTCCTAAATTTCATCTGGAACCAGAAGAGACCTAGAATCGCAAAGGCAATTCTAAGCAGCAAAGACAAAGCAGGAGGCATCACAATCCCTGACTTGAAGTTCTACTACAAAGCAACAGTAGTAAAATCAACATGGTATTGGAATCAAAACAGAGCCGAAGATCAATGGAATAGATTAGAAGATACAACCACAACTACAAACACACTCAACCACCTTATCTTTGATACAGGAGCCAAGCAGATTCACTGGAAGAACGACAGTCTCTTTAATAAATGGTGCTGGAAAAACTGGTTCTCCATTTGCCGAAAACTAAAGCTAGACCCGTGTCTATCACCATGTACTAAATTAAAATCTAAATGGGTCAAAGATCTGAATATTAAAACAGAAACACTAAATCTATTGGAAGACAAATTGGGTAGAAACCTTGGAGACATAGGAGTAGGTAAAGAATTCATGAACAGGACTCAAACCGCACAGGACATACTTCCCAGAATCAATAACTGGGACCACTTCTTATTAAAAAGTTTCTGCATGTCAAAAGAAACTCCAGCATAGTGAAAAGAAAACCCAAAAACTGGGAAAAGATTTTAGTGAACTCTCTCACAGACAAGGGACTCTTGTCTAAAACATATAAAGAATTAAAAAAACTCAGACCCCCAAAATTCAAAGATCCAATCCAAAAATGGGCATCTGAGATGAATACGCACTTCTCAGATGAAGAAATTAAAATGGCAAATAAATACAGGAAAAAATGTTCATCTTCATTGGTCATTAGAGAAATGCAAATTAAAACCACACTGAGATACCATCTCAGTCCTGAGGGGCTGGGGATTTAGCTCAGCGGCATAAGCACCTGCCTTGCAAGCAGGCGGTCGTGAGTTCGATCCCTAGTACCGATAAAAAGTTTAAAAAAAAAAAAAAGAGCAAACCATCTCACTCCTGAAAGAATGGCCAGGATCAAGAAAACCAACAACAAATGCTGGAGAGGCTGTGGGGAAAAAGGAACTCTCCTGCACTGTTGGTGGGAATGTAGACTGGTACAGCCTTTGTGGAGGTCTGTCTGGAGATTTCTCAAAAATTTGGGATTGGAAATCCCATTTATTCCAGCTATTCCACTTCTAGGCATATTCCCAGAAGAACTGAAAGCATCATACCACAGTGATATATGTGCACCTATGTTTATAGCAGCACAATTTGTAATCGCCAGATCTTGGAAACAACCCAAGTGTCCATCAACTGAGGAATGGATAAAAAAGTTGTGGTATTTCTATACAATGGAGAATTATTCAGCTATAAAGAAGGATCACATTGAGATATTTATCAATAAATGGGCGCAGCTTGAGACCATACTCATAAGTGAAATAAATCAATCTCGCATGTGTGAATACCGAATAGTTTCCCTAATGTAAGTAATGATTCAAATATATAAAAATATGTGGTAATCATGATTCCCCATTATGTGGCCTTGAAGCCTTATAAAGTTTTCACTCATTAATTAGAAAGGCTTTATTCTGGGCTTCTTGATATGGAAATATTTGAAGCTATAGTATATGAAGTTTTATCCAAATATTTCAAGGAAAAAGACAGACACTATGGTAACTACTATTAAGTCGGGTTATTTGGTGGTGAAGTACTAGGTTGCTGAAACAGTCATGATTTGACCTCTAATGTTATATTGTTATGTCCTGTTTTATCTCAATCTCTCCCTTATTCTTTAAAAAAATTATTTAGTTATTTCTTATGTTTGTTTTAATTAAGGGGGAAAATTTTAAAAATTAGGATATATAATAGTAACTCTTTTTGATTTCCTATTAACTTGTTTTGAAGTCCTGTAATACTCCCATGATCTTTTTTTGACTGATTAGACTCTGTTCCATTCTGTATGATAGTATCAAGTTTGAGGGTATAGGCAACTACTTTGAAGGCAATAAGATTCACTAAGATGCCCATTCTGGTTTGACTATTGTCTCCTTTGGAAGTCCTATAATGTTTACAATGCCTAAGTTTTATTGGTCTTGTTCTCTACTGTTTTGTCCAACTTTATAATATCTAATGAGATAGACAATTCTTTTTAAGGAAACAAGAGACAACGTTGATAACCATTGTTGATAACCTTGTACTCTGTTGTACATCATGTGCTATGTCTATCCTTGGTTTTGACTGACAGCTTTGTTTTGCCATATTTGAATGTATTCTCTCCCCCCCCCCCAAAAAAAAAGTAATAAGAACTAAGGAGTAATAAAATCCAAAATGTGTAAATTTTGTTGTAAAAAAGAGAGGGAAAAAAAAGAAAAAAGAAAAAGAGCTCTAACGGATATAACAGCAAGTGTGTTTAGGGGTGTTAAATAGCTGACTATATTAATGTTTTTGGATCATTGAACACAGCTGTTTGCAGTCTCTCTGTTTGAATGTCCACTTTGTATTCTTTGATACTGTGATTTGAGCAACTATTTTCAAGATGATAATATGTAATCTATTAATAGGTGATTTCTTACTGTTATTTTTTTTTGTAGTTCTGTATTACGTGTACCCTTACACCGCTCTGTTTTGTTTTGTGTTTTTCTCTTTTTCCTCTTAAATAAAATTTTAAAAAAAAGAGGATATCAGTATGCAATATAGCAAATATGGGGGATTTCTTTCTTTCTTAGTTTTGAAATCCAATAGTGTTTGCACTGGGTTTTATTTTTGTTCAAATTTATTTTTTTGTTTTATTCAATGTTCTGTTTTGATTGGTTTTATTCTGTTTTGTTTTATTTTACTATGTCTGATGGAATGGACAGCTATTGTGAAGAAAACAAGATATACTATGGTAGCCATTGTTGATTTCCTACTATCCTGCTTCAAAGTTCTATACCACTTTCACTGCTTTGTTTTGATTGGCTTTACTCTGTTTTGCTTTGTTAGGTTTTATTTTCTTTAAGGTAAATAAATAAAAGTAGTAGATTTCCCAATAAATGAATGGTTAACTTCCTAATGATAAAGGCAAGTTAGCTGTTAAGAAAACATATCTAGTTGAAGCCAAATAAGATTATCAGGTGCTGGGCAATTACTTAAAATTTCATCAAGTAAGTTGTGATTTCAAATTTAAGGGGCAATATGAATGCATTTAGGAAGATTTAATACAACAGAAGCCATGACTCAAGAGCTACATCACACTCATATTCCTCAAAGCACTCACAGCCATTGTAACCGTCAATTGCAAAGTTCTCATCAAGTTAGCAAATATCCACCTCATGTACCTCTATCAATTAACAGCTGCTAACAACAAAGAACTTAAAAAGCAAAAGAGATCAAGCTACCTGGCCTCAGGATCAGGTTGAAACCTAACAAGCATTCACACTCCTTTTGCTGACATGGACCATCCCCCACTTCCTGATGGATGGACAGCATCCAGAGATGCCCCCTGGGGCAGCCAGAAAAAAATGCTGAAACTGAATCACCCCATTCTGTGCTCATTGCAAATGTCTATTTAGGAAGATTTCACCTAAGCTGTAGCTTAACCTTCCTCCTCTTGGCCTCACAAAGAGACCCTTTGACCTTCAAGGAGCCCCAGCCTTCATGGTGCCATTGCTAGAGGTGGCATAACAAGATTAAAGAGCATTAGTGGCTTGAGAACAATTATCTCGCTTGTGTAAAATACTCTCTCAGAAGTGCAGAGGGTGACAGGACAGATGAGAAGTGACTAACAACCCCAAAAGAAAAAGGCATTAAGGAAAAGCTGGTGTGAAAAGGAAATGAAGAGACAATCAGAATGGATGAGGGGAAATCCACCCATTGCCACCACTTCTGGGACATGA